ACATCCATCTGTTAATGAATGGATAAAAGTCCTTTGCAGTTTTAAAGGAGCTTTGTTTGTTCTTAATGTGAACCAGCTTCATAATGAGCTGAGCTGTGTGTGTATAAATAGTCCATTTAGTTAATTGTTTCCTACAATGAGATAGATTGGTAGCATCTATTTAATGTCTGATTCTGGTCTCAATAGAGCCAATTGTTTTCTACTATGGGATTAAGTAGGAACTGAAGTAATCCTAGTCTATAAATTTCATTGTGAATTCTATATTGAGAAAAAAAGCAAAACAGAAAAGAAAAATACATTCAGAATCCTTCTCATAGGTGAATTGTGCTAATAATTTTCCTGCCCTTAAATCCTCTGAACTGTATCTTGTATTTTCTGATCTGTTAAATTTTTTTTCCCAGAAAGTTGCTCAAAAAAAATTTCCCCCCCAATTTGTGCAGTAATTTCCTTCGGCTTAAATGCTATAGAATCAAAATTCAGAATGTTGAAAATGGATATTACTAAAGAAATATTTATTTGGAATTCCCCAAATGAGAAAGTACAAAGGCTTTAATTCCACATGCCACAGGGCTGTTATTAGCAACATTGAGATTCCCTGATGAAATTCACAGCCTGATAAAGTAGATGTGGAAAAGTGCCTTTTGAGATTAGATCAAGACTTTTAAAAGGATATTCCAAATTTATTTTGGTTTAGATACAGTAACTATACCTTTCATTTTGCAAATTCAGTTTCCTAATATCCTGTAAAGGTCTATAGTAGGAGAACTTTATTGTGTCCTTATTCACAGTCTTGAAACAGGCTTTGTCCTTTGGTCAGCTTCTCTGTATAGAACCAGAACTCTTCTTCCTTTTCTCTAAAAGAAGAATTTAAAGTTGTAACATATCTTAGTATAGTATTTACCACTGGTTATTTTCTTTTCTTTTTTTTTTTTTTTCTGCAATACTTAGATGAAAAAAGTAGAAGGATGCTCATTTGTCTGAATGTGTCAGTCTGTTGCTGCTGTTTTGCTTAGCTCCTGGGTATGTTTAATCTTCCATTGACAGAGGCTTGCTTTTGAACATATTCAGAGTATGCTTGTGGGAGAACACAAGACCCAGTATGATACCTTGATGTATTTTGTCAATAATATTAAGCTACAGTATTGGTTGTAATTTAGTATTTGATTTGATTGACATTTATTTAGGGCAGAAGTATTATGCTTATTTGGCTTTTTCTTTTTTCAAATTAAATAGGCCAAACAGTTATCCTGTGGAATCTAGAAATAGTAAAACTTCTTTCCCCATCATCTGTAGCTATTAAATTTTGCATCTCACTCTATCATATTGGGGGAATACTCTTAACAGCACCATATATATACACTTAGACATCAAGTCAGGGAGAAATTCACAGAGATTTTTGCTGTATAGTGCAAGGATATTTCAAATATTACTGGAGGTTCACACACATTTTTGTAATCATAGTCAAAATAATATAACTTACAGTAGCATTTTGGCCTTGTTTTGCACCTCTCTGTCTGCCTTAAATCTTTACCTGCCTTTATTTCCAAGTAGTTAAAAAAGGCACCAGTTCAAAGATTTCTGATTTTTTTCCTTCTTTCTAGCTTGTTGTAGGTTTTTTAGAATGTCTATCACATAGGGAAGTCTTTCTTTTTTTACTGGGTATCATTCGACCTTGAGTGAGAGTGTCACATGTCATTACAGAATCGTAGATAGAGTTCATTAGGTATAAAATAAATGTCAGAGCTCTAGACATTTTGTAGCAAATTAATGTTTTAACATTGACAATGGTTGTTTGTCCAGTGACATAAGAGAAAATGATTTTTAATTTTGCACTAAAGGCTCTACTAGTTTGTATATTATGGATAAACCAAAATACCTGGAGATTTTTTTTTTAATTCTCATACACATCAGTTGTGTCCCTTAAGGAATCTGAAATACATTTAACTTGATAATAAATACTGAAATAGAAATTCATTATTCATAGGAGTAAGTATTTAAACACTAATGGAATGAAACATTATGAACAATTTAACACAATCATCACTAAAAACTGGGAGGAGACTGTATCTAGAACAATTTAACACAATCATCACTAAAAACTGGGAGGAGACTGTATCTAGTAGCAAACTATGGAATTTATGCATTACAGGCCAGATTTTTTTCTCTAATACTCTCTTCCATTTAAAATTCTCTGAGCTAATAAAGAAGTGGTTTTATGAGGGAGCTATATGCTATGATCATACATGATATGCTATATTTTAGCCCCTTTAAATGCCCAGAAAAAAAAATACATGAAACATTTACTGACAGTGCAAAATGATTTATGCATAACCTTTGTTTAGTTTGTTTTCTCTAAAAATCTTTATTTTCCTTTTTTCTCAAAAATATCCCATCTTCTAAATAAAATGTCAAAACTTTCATTTTGAGTGACTGCTACTGCTTCTTCATTTGACTGTTACTCTTTATCCATCATACTGTTTCTGAAACATCTTACAGTCTCTTCTCACTCAATGACCATTTTCTGTGTTTTAGATATATTGCTCTATCTTAATTAAGTGTTGATTTTTGTTTGTATCAGCTTTGTTTTTTGAACTGGGAATAATTGCCCAAGCTTAATTTATTTGGTATGTCTATAGTCATAATATTTAATGATCCATTATTATGCCAGATCTCAGCTGCACAGGAGTGATCCATATTTTTGAAGCAATTGGGTATCTACAGATGCCAACAAAGAGGCATTTGCTAGCCTGCAAGGAAAGACAATAAAATCTATGCAATCAATGTATGCATTTGTCAGGCTTTGCATTGGAGTGTGCGTGACAAGTCACGTTCAACCTGTTTGCTGTAGTTAATGTGTTTTGGGGAAACAAAATAATAAAAAGCATATTTAAACAACACAGTGGGAAGGGCAAAGGGATTCTCAATAAACACCATTTCTCAAAAGAGACAAAACTGTGTTTATTCAACGTAAACAAATACAATGAGAAGTGTTTTGCCAGAGAAACTGTTTCAAGCTATTTGCTTAAAGTGTGAAAGAGCTTTATTAGAGTGAATATGCTTTGACTTGGACAACGCCTCTTTTGAATTTCAATAATAGCTAAACCCTTGTGAAAAATACTTTCAGTAAATGTGCATGTTTATCAAAACGCAGATGATAAAATTGCTGGTAAATATAACTTTGTTTAAGATAAACTAATTATGTTTACATATATGTGCTGAAATGATGCATTCTTTCTATAAGCAGAGCCTGTCTCATCTGATACTTCAGAAGGATCCTTGGCATGTTTACAGCTGCATGCTGCATTTCTTGAATTCCAGAGTTTGAATTCTGTCAGTCTAAAACCATTGAGTCCAGCATGTTCATAGGAAAGTCACCCAGGAAAATTAAATTTACATAAACAAATTATTCTATCAGCCTCTGCCAACACCTACATTCCCCAATCTTATAAATGGTCCAAACCTTCAGTTCTGAAGTCAGACATTTCCATTTGCTGATTCCCTGAAATTATATCTATTGACAAATCACATGCCAGCCTCTGTCTGTTTAAGTAAGACCATAAAAATGCTAAAACTATAAATTTTCAAAATGTTAGTTTTGTGGAAACCTGTAGGATCCTTACTGATGAGCTATACCCCATTGTCCATGGTTATTGCAAGGACAGGTACATATGCTGAAAATAGATGAGGAAAATAAGAAGTCTTTAATATTCCATCAGCAGCAGAGAGAACACTGCATGTTATATTCACAATTATGCTTCAGAATGGAATATTTCAGCATTAAAGGCAATGACCCATATACATCTATGTATACATATAAACAGATTTAAAAACAAATTCATGGGGATATGCAGAATGAAACAAACATTCCAGTTTTGCCATAATTGTATTATTGTTAGTATTTTAATAGTAGAACAGGAAAAATTATTGGTTTGCTAAGGAATTGGAACAAATAATAGATAAGAATATTCTAACTATTATACTGCAAGTCAGCAATATGAAGTATGAAACACAGTTTGACATACAACCCAATACCAAATCTGCAAAATATAATTTTATTGGTCTTGTTATAATGCAGGCATACTCCAAAAATCACTAAGTCTGAAACATAACCCATCATCTAGAAGATATTTGTTGACTTTATAATTTTACAGGTTTTGATGCACTGTGAAATCTGAGTTCATTACACAGAGGAAGAACTGCCATGTAAACTGAGACAGATTCTGGCAGAACATCACTTCCTTTATTGTTAAAGGGGGTTGTTTTACATAATAATAATGCTGGAAAATGTTCAAATGTGTGTAAGTTAAATACTTACCCTATCCTTCAACTTTAAATGAAACAGTTCTGAAGCTGTACAGTGATAATATCTTTATTGATACCCATTTAATGTGCCGTGTATTGGATTAGCTGGATTTAGCACCTATTATATATATATATATATGGCTGTAATATTAACCATTCTATTCAATGTCACTTGGAAAGACTGTTAAACTTTTGTAAAGTAAAATTGTCATCAAAGCATAGTTCCTACTGGACTGATGTAGTAATGTTACACATATATCTATCAACCTTTCACTGTTAGCAGCCACTGCAAAAAAATGACCTGCAAAATTAATTAGTCTTCAAAGTCTGTATGTAGTCCCATTTTGGGCATTCACATAAGCATATCATTCAGCTTACAGTCTCACAGTCAGACCAAAAATTTTAAATTCAGCCCCTTATAAGAATGAAGTTGATAGAGTTGCATCATCTCATACAACACACTGTACGTTCTGCCTAGGAGTGTATGCTCCCAACACCTGGTTCACGTGTGTGGCTTATCCCCACCTCAGCAAAAACCAGTTCTGAAACATTTGTAATGTGAGACAAATGCAAACACAAAGTGCTTATCCACTCAGCAAAAGGTCTGCTCTAAAAATGCTCTGATAGGCTGTTCAGTGTTTTCAAGACAGCAGCTGAACACATATAAATGTAGTAAGAAGTTTATGTTTGGTTTCCAGGATCAGTGGTTTTGGCGAGTCAGGAACAACAGGGTCATGGATGGATACCCCATGCAGATTACCTACTTCTGGAGGGGACTGCCTCCCAGCATTGATGCAGTTTATGAAAACAGTGAGGGGAACTTTGTCTTCTTTAAAGGTAAGAAAGAACAAAAATAAGATTTTGTGTAACACTTTTGAGTGTGATGTTTTCTTGAAACACATCTTGTTTATTTTTACTAATGATTTGTAAATCTTATTGCAAATTGGTAGCTAAATGATGAGTATATAAGTTAGCATTTTCTTGTTTGGCAATTACATTTTAATTTATGATTACATAATTACATAATTAATTACATTAATTTATGATATCAAAATATTTGGTCCTTTTTTCTTACATATTCAATCAAAATTTGAAAGTATAAATATAAGACATAGAAATGAAGTGATCTGTTATGAAATAATTTTTTAAATGTGTTTTAGGAAGACACAATGAACACATTTCCATTATTAATTTTTGTGTAGTTCTCTTTGCTCTTCCTTTTAACATATGAATTTCTTATATATTAAAATGAATAATTTTAATCATTCTGCTATATATACCTCACTGTACTGCATTTTATTTGTTTCATCTAAGACTTGTGATGTTAGGAGTTTCATGTGGGGAAAATAATCTTTTTCATAGATGTGTATTTAGTGTTTTTAAAGGAGTATAAACTCCAGAAAATAGGTGACTTAGATCAAATTGTTGTGAACAATTATTTCCAAATTTCACTCCAGACATCAGCTCTTCTTCAAAATTAAAGTTCTTGAACATGTACCTTATTTAGATTTAATGATAAAGTTATCTTATATGTTTAACAATGCATATTTAGTGACAAAATCTTCAAATTACATAAAGTTTTAGAAAATAATCATGTGACAGAATAGAAAACTGAATAGATAAGAAATATGTGAAAAATTATTCAGCTTTTTAGTGTTGTGAGTGATTAATTTTTTTAACTACAAAAAAAAGGTATATTTTTAAAGTTGTTATATTAAAAAAGAAAGTAATTCATTTTTAGAAGTGGAATCATTAATGGGGAGTAAGAATATTGCATTCACTACAGAAACAATCTTGGGAATGTTAAATAAAATATATTTAATAAATTGCAGAACCACTTCATAACTGTAAAATGAAGTTTATGTTTTACTAAAAGTGAACTTGTATTTTTGTGTGAATCATAAGGAAAATGATATTACATGTAGTGCAGTTTCTCTTTCGATACAGCAAATGCTTTACTTCTGTTGCCATAAAATAAACTTCAAGTCATTCAGCCCTGGAAAGTTTATATGGTTGGGAATCATGATCAAGGTACCTCTAAATCTCCATCTCACTGCTTGATTTTTAGGTCTGTAGGACATGGAAGGATAAAAATATTATTCTGCAGCTATTCTTTTGCACTACTTCTACAAAGAGCAAAGTAGCTACCCTGGCATTCCAGACTTCTGCCTTGATAATGCTGGGATCCATTATCTGAGCTCCAGACAGAAATGATCAAGCTTATTGTTATAGCTGCTTCTTTTCCTTCCCAATGACCTTGAAATATGTTTCCTCATTATTTAACTCTCCACCCACTGCTGACTGGCTCCTGTTAGGTCTTAGAGGAATAGGCTGATCCTGTAGTTTATGGGCTAGGAGGGAAGGAGGAGGGAACTTCTCAAACAACAGCAGGAGGAGGGAACTTCTCTATTTTTTCTCTGGGAAAAAAATCAAGATTAATTAAAGCAAGCAGGAACAGCAGGATTGTGCTCTTAGAAGTCAGAACTGTGTTTTCCTTTCCCCACCTTACGCTATCTGATTTCAGACCAGTTAGTTTTGTGCCTTCTAGCTGATATCATATTATATTTGGATATTCTGCTGTAGGTTTTTTTTTTTTTCCATATGACTTATTCAAAGTTCCTTCTGTTATTTCTCCAATGACATTTGTATTATTCCCTTATTTGCCAAAGCCAAAAGTCTTTGTATTTCCTTGTGCAATTTAAAAAAAATATTTTTGCTTCTCTTCCATGACTTCATGACTCTTAATATCTAACTGTTGTTGTTTTCTGTCAGTGTAATTCATGTTTTTCCACTGCTACAGAATCAAAAAAATCAGCTGTCTTCTGTGTGGGTATCCTTGAAAATTCCTGTTCCAAGGATCTCAACTGCCTTGTGGAACATGATTACAGAAACATATATAAATAGACTGTAGGTAAATTATCATTGTCTCATTTCTTCTATTCCATCACAAAATTTCCTAGGAAAAGGTTACATGTCTTCCTTCCAAAGGTGCTAGAAGTAGACAAGCTGGTTGTTGCTAAGATGATGAGCAAGTAGAATGCCTTATCCAGGTAGTGTGCTTTACTAGTCTAAAATTGGTCCAAACAAGTAAGTTCTAGAAGGAACTTTAAATCTGAAGTCTAGCATACAGATATGTTAACAAAGCACATACCTAAGACAATGTCTACATGTGTTTTTCAGAGAATAAAATAGAAAAGATGGATTAAATGCCAGCAGAAAACTTGTACTGGTTTAATGTCACTATGCTCTCCTCTGACCCACATTATAATGTCACCTATTCCTGCCCTCTCTTTAGTGCTGACCCATAGTATACTCCAAATATACAGGCTAGACACTAGCAAAAAAAAATGCTCCCAGATGGAGTGGATGGGCACTGGAATGGGCTGCCCAGGGAGGTGGTGTAGTCACTGTCCCTGGAGGTGTTTAATAAAAGACTGGATGTGGCCATGGTTTAGTTGATAAGGTAGTGTTAGGTCATAGGTTGAACTTGATGATCTCCAAAGTCTTTTACAGCCTAGCTGATTCTGTGGCAAGTTCCTCATCCATCCCAGCAGAGCTCCATGCATGCCAGCAGGTCACTGACACAAGACAGCAACATCCCCATGTCCTCTTCCCTGCCCATCCTTTGTAAAGAGCCAGTAGCCTTCCATTCTAACATCCCATTCATAGAAGCCATCCCACTATGTCTCTGTGATGCCAGTAAGATCACAGCCCTGCAGGTGTGCAGAAATTTCCAAGCACATCCCTAACTCCTGTTGTTATTCTGGATAATACGTGCATTTCCATAGAGACATTTAATTTGCAGCACCTAATGAAACCAACTTACTGACTGGAGTGGCTGGAATTCCTTTGTGCTGTTTCAGGTGCTCTCCTGCTGACCTGTGATCTCTCTCCAGGCTCTGGACATCTCTTGCTGGCACTGACATCAAACTGGTAGGAGTGGGATGGATTGAGGTTCTCCCTCCACCAGTAACTTTATTTAAAATCCCTCTTTACCAGCTTGGCAAGCCTATGACCAAGATGCTCTTCCTGTTCCCTGCCAGATGGACTCATCAGCCCTCAGTAGACCAGATCATACTCGTAAAGTACAGAGCAATCTGGTGGATAGCTGCTTATAAAAAACAGATGTTTGAATTCTTGTTATTATTCATTACCAGTGTCCATGCTGAATGATAATAAGATGGCATCAAAAAGATACCTTTTTTTTTTCTTTTAATGAGAAAACATGAATAGTTAAATTCATTCTGTGTACCTTTGGGAATTTATATAGTGCTAAAAATGAAATTGTCAAGCCATCTGTGCTGTTGAATGTTATGGTAAACCAAATGTAGCAATAGAAAGGCTGCTGTAAAACTCATACTACCAGTGCCTCCATCATAACATTCTACTGCACTTACCCCATGGCCTGACAGTTTTATATTGAAAAATAGATTCACTATAGTGTCAGATCATGCAACAGAGAAATGACAGAAACTTGATGTGGGAAATAGAGAATGGGGAAAAAGGAACCATGAATAGTAATTTTAGGATTCTAGAAAAAGACTAGATACAGGTTTGAAAGACCAAAATTAAGAGGAATGGTGGCTGGAATAAACCAACATTTGGGATTAGATGTTAATTTTTTAACTGATTTAAATTACATGTAATTTTTTAAAAATTTGGAAATTCATCTCACCACTCTAACAGAGTCATGATATGCCACACACTTCTTGCACTACGCATCTACCATAATTGCAAATAATGTGGAAAAAAAACACAGAAGCACAATTATTCAGAATTCAGATTCTATAAAGGAAGAACTAGTTGCTAAAAACTGGATATTATTTGGCAGTAATCAGTAGGAAGTTAAACAGTCTAAATAATATCTAGAATATTGCAATTTTAAGTGAGGTATAGCAATAAAAATGCCCTTTATTTCCAGTACTTTTTTTAGAATGTCAAAGATGGATTTTGAGAAACTTCAAATAATTCCATCGTTCATCCTTCTCAGCTGTTTCCCTACAGTGATGATATTTAACAAAGCATTATTTCAAGAAGTAAGACATTTTAGCTTTTTTATCACTTGCTTCACTCTCAGCTTCTGACCTTGCCAATCTGCTTCTTATTATATTAGACCTTACAAGAGGGAATAAAAGCAGAAAGATTAAACATTCTGAAATTTCAGACTTCATGAAACATGTGGTGCTTTATTCTCTATGAAAATAACAAACCTACCAATGAGACCTTAAAAAAAAACCTTTACAAAATAAACACAGTGGTGGTTTCTGCCAAGGGCACAGGTTTTGACTCCAAAGAAGCATTAGTTATCTATAGGAAGAATAAAAATATTACTAATTTTGTTGTATTTCTTTCCATTATGATCAGAATTAATGAAGTTTTACTGACTATTAGTGGAAGTGGAATGTGAACTACGTGAAAGCATACGGACTGTAGCATTAGTTTGTACTATATTTAAAGTTTTATAAATATGTTAGAAATAAAATTATCTCATTTGCATCACAGTTGGGCATCTTTTGCACTGGTTTTCAGCTTTAACTTTTCCTAACATTGGGTTCTGATCAAATTCTGTTGATCAGATCAATTCTCTGATAAATAGACACCCACTTTCCTCCAGGTGAGAGACAGAAAAAGAAAGATCCAAAACAAGACCTCCTAAAACCTCCTAAAAAAACCAACCAAACAAAAAACTGAAGTGAAAGCTGTCAGCCAGATGGAACATTTGGATTTCTTGTATACAGTACTTCTCATTAACAATCAGCACAGTTATAGCAGACTAAACATGTCTTCTAAAGCAAATGTTAAATAAAATTCCTGCTAGTTAGCATCAATCGGCTTTGCTTACATATGTTAGAGATCTCAATGCTTCCCTGTCTCTGCAGAATACACATAAATTTACCTTTTCTCTCTTTTCTAAGAAAGAATTTGTTTCTTAGTAAGAAATTGTGTGAAGAATTCAGTTTCTTCTGCCTGTTCCCACATCTGCACTTTCCTTTTAATTCAGTATCTCTGAATATGCAAAAAAATGCGTGGCTCAGTGGTGCTGTTTTTTACAATGGCTTGTGCATAACCATTGTTTATTTTGGTATGACCTGATCTTGTTGATAGTTAACTTTGCCTCCTTGGGTATGGCTGATAATGATCTATTCATAACAATTGCTTTGACTTTATTCCTTGTGAGGCACAGAGAAAAGTATTGGCATTACATACATCACAGCATATGCCTCTCAGTGCTGTGCAACAGCTGTCATTTCGAATGATCTTCTGAAACAGAAATGAGCTGGCCCAGGATCACTCACTGGATGCCATCTGTTGTTCACACCACAAGTACCAACTAGGAAGGTTCAAAACACATGACTTCTCTTATCATTGCATTTGAAACTGCCATTAACATCTGAAGCTTTCTGTATCCAGTCATATGAATTGGCAAAAAATAAACCACATGGGAGGAGGGACAGAGAATGATTGAAGATGCTCACCTCTGTCATTGTCAAACCCTATAAGTGAATTTTTATAAGGCATCTCAGTAAAGGTAAATCTCAGGTTAGCAATGACCTTAATCCCAGGTCAACAGAGAACTCATCTTCCCCTGACTGCTCTTCATAGATCTCTGTGTCTCTTTCATTTTCAGTACTTCAAATGACTCTGTGCATACTCATTCTTTGAGCCTTTCCTTCAACTGGCAGGGGAGGGAAAATGGATCTGTTGAACAAACTGTAGTGTCTGTGCTTGAAAGTGGGTGACAAGCAGCTGTAGAGAAGCTGATAAAAAATTAACCCTGGAAACCCAGCATGGGAGGGATGGAAACTATACCCCCTCTCCTAATTAAAACTCTGATAAAATGAAAACATGCTTTAAATCACCACAGTACAAACAGGGAGATCAAAAAACCCTTTCCTTTAAACAAATGTTTAATACCACAGAGGGATAGCTAAAATATAAAACCAACTGCAAAACAGCTCTCTGGGTTTTCCCCCTTGATGATTCTGGCATACACCTGATCCTAGGTCTTTGGGGTAATATTACATTTCCTTATAAAATATTTATACAGCACAGTACCTTAACCTCCTAAATCTGTATAACAACCTGTCTAGCCTTAAAGGCAAGTACAAAAACTAATGTGAACAGCCATGATTTTATCTCTTACATCCTCCTTCCAAATGTGTTTCAGCAAAAATTATTTTCAAACTTTTCCCCTTATATTTCAAATATCATTGTCATGCATAGCAATGGATAGACCAAAGTGAAGAATCCAATAAGGCCAATTCAATATATATGTTCAAGGATGTTGTCTAGATTTTTTTTGGTGATTTAGCTCCAAGTGTCCATGTGATGTCAAAGAGTACCTTCTCCTTCAGTCATTATTACTAAAACTAGCAATACTTTTTGGAAAAAATGATGATGGTAATGCTTTGAAGAGAGAACAAATACATGGTTTTTTCACAATGGAGCTCATAGTCTAGCCTGAGAAGAGTGTACTTGTGGTCAAGGGGACAGAACACAAAGAGAAGACAGGCATCCAAGCAAGCTCATCAGATAAGTACATAAATCCAAAATATGCTTCCCGTTTCCTATTTCTAGGGAGCATATGGGGATCTTTATTCCCTTCTTTTAGCCAAAGCTGTGTTTGAAAGAGAAGTCTGCTGAAAAGACAAAGGTGAGAAGTGAGTTTTGAAGAAGAATTAGAAGAAAGAAGAAATGCAAAAAGGAGAAGAAGATATTTGCAAGAATAGGACAGGTGGCACAGTATGTTGAGAAGTCCCCTAGGAGGACAACAAAATTATCGAGGAAATATTGGGCTATAAGCTTAATATGAGATAGTGAAGCAGGTGAGATAATCATGGAAGTATTCAGTGAAGAAGAACTTGTCCTGGAAGGTAGAGGAAAGACTCAAGCTTGGAAAGTGGAGCTGTGGGCTGTTAAGGTAAGCCATCCAGCTGGAAGAGAGACCACAGGAAGCATCCTCTTCCACAAACAGGGGGCATCTCGACTATAAAACACTGGTGCAGCTGCTACTTCTGTAGGCGTGGATCCCTATGTACACAAAATATTTGTCTAGTAGCTGCAGTTACCACTCTAGCAGTAGGGGTTTCATCCACTCAGCACTGCAGCCCAGCAAGCCCCAGGCTGTCATTCATATTTAAGACAGTGACCTGAGTAGCCTGGGTAATCTGAGGTTTGTGTAGACACTGCTAACAGCAACTGGAGTTGTACAACTACATTGTATTTTCAGCACTTCATAAGTCAGCTGGGGGATTTTGAATTATTTGCCACCTACAGACAAAGCTGAAGTCTTACTGCCACTGGCAACCCACCATTACCTTCAGTAACAAAAGGTATTCACCTCTGGGATCCAGACTCTCAGTCTGCTGTCTTTAGGCTGCCCTAAAAGAAAAGATGTTTTAATATTAAATTCTATGGCTATTTCTGAAACATCCTTCATAAGTAATTTAAATTCTTGGGGAGAAATACAGAGTAATAAATGTCTCTATGAAAATTGTCATTTCTATTTTTTTTGTGTTTCTTACCTTGCTTTTCTTATAAAATTCTCTCTTTCCTCATGAAACGTAAAACTGCTGCGTAGTTTTTCTGTAAATGTATTACATTATCAACCAGAGTCTCTTAAGGTGATTTAATTTTCACTCTACTTTTGATCACTGCATAGTTGGTAATAAAATATTCTGTAGACTTATTTGACGAAAGGTGCTTTATAAATGTGAGTATCCATAAAGCATATTTAATTTTGCATTGTCTGCAGTGATGGAACATTTTTAATTTCATTGTATTTGGAAGAATTGCTACTATAGACCCTTGGGAGTCTTTCTTATTTCTTAAGAGTGCATTAATATTTCTACTGACAGTACTGATGATTAACAGATACATATGTGTGTGTTTGTATGCTTTTGTACAGGTAACAAGTTCTGGGTTTTCAAGGACACTACTCTCCAGCCAGGTTATCCTCATGATTTGATAACACTTGGAAGTGGAATTCCTTCCCATGGCATTGATTCAGCAATTTGGTGGGAAGATGTTGGAAAAACCTACTTCTTCAAAGGAGATAGGTTGGTATAGGATTTCTGCAAGGGAACAATTCAATGGACACCAGCTAAACATGTTAACCTTTTCCTCTGTTTCTGAAAAAGATGAAATTTACTCCTCCTGTATGGATGGCTGTAATGTTTTCACATTTCTTATAACCTAAATTATATTTTCATGAGTATCTTGGAGTGGGTATAAGTATATCCAGTAGAAAAGTTCTGTTCTGGAAGTCAACAAGCAAGTCACAGTTGTGGTAAATTTAAACTTAAATATTCAAAGTGATTTGTTTATGTACACTCTTACATCTTTCTTTTTATCCACATTTCTAAACCCAAAACATAAGCAGGCTAGGCATGATCCAAAGCTTTTAAGGTCAGTGAAAATGACTTTGCTACTATTTGATAATGAGGTAAAAGAGGGAACTCAGAGCTGAATCTGAGAGCTAGAGAAGAATTTGAGCATTTTCTTGGAATTACTTCTAAATAAATCTTTTAAATCTTCTAAATAAATCTTATAAATCTATAGGGACACATATAATAATAATCATAATCATCATCATCATCATCATCATTATCATCATCACAACCTCCCAACAAAAAGAAAAGCACAGAAAAAACCATTAAATCCAAGGGTTTTTCTATTCCTGAAATACTTGTACTAGTCACTTAGTTTCTGTATCTTTATTTACCTGTAAATAAAAAAAAAAAGGAAAGGAATGCTTGCCTGCTTTATAGAGATGTTAGGAGAATTCATTTTGAAAAACTGCAAGTTGTCTGAATTATGGATTTTACAGGTTTTCAGTATAGTACTGTTTGTTGATTGATGTATTGCTGGGAAAATTTTGTGTGCTCAGAGACAAATTATTCCTTTTAATAACTGTAATATTTCTATTAGTCTTATTAAAACTATGTCTGCTTTTGTTACTGTGTGGTACTTAGTGTTCTCAGACACTAAGATTATTCATGGATCACTTAAGAAATCAATTTAATGCACATCATAGAATATGTTTAGGAGAATATCGTTTGTAATCTTTTAGCAGTACTGTAAAAATTGCACTACAGAATGCTGCAACAAATTTTATGGTTAAAGCTGTTTTTATTATTTAAAAAAATATAGCTCTCCATCACTAATGGTGAGTGAAGTAGATAACTAAGTCAAATTTTTGTAATGTTTTAAAAATAGGTATCATTTCAAGCAATCAATTTTCATAGTGAGTAGAAGATGCCTAAATAATTTGCTTCCTGTGGTTCTTTAAAAATTCTTTAAAAATTCAAATTCTTTTTCAGGTAGTAATTTTCCACCTCCACATACATATTATTAAAAAATGTACAGTAGGAATTTTTTGTGACTTTTACTTCCTTTAGGCTTTATTCAGCAATGTCCTTTTATATTACCATGCATAGGCAGTTACTTATATTCAGGACTTTCCTAAAACACAACTGGTAATAATAGAAGACAAAAAGAACTAGCAGAGAAAACAGGAGCTGGCAGAAAAGTTGCTACATTGAGCTAACAAGCACAATGAAACTCAGCAGGATATAAATGCAATAGAGTATGTTAGAAGAAGATTGAACATAAGCCTTGCAGAGATAATTGAGCCATTACACGATATTGACCATCAGTGGGAATAAACCCTTACAACAGTAAGTTTCTCTATGTGCATTGCTTATGAGATCAAATATTGGCTATAAAATAAAAATAATAATAAACTGACGAAGCAAAAAAGTAAACAAACAAGAAAATCCCATTAACTAAATCAGTATGAAGATTTAAAAGTTGAACTGGTAAACAGTCATATATCTAAAGCAGGTCATTTATCAAACATTGTTGTTGTAATTTGATATTATCTATTTCAACACTCATGATAATTCTTCTAAATAATTGTATGAAACATATGAAGGAGAAAAAAATTGACTACAGAAAACATTTGTCCCTCTGTTATTCCAATCCTACCAGAACTGAGTCATCTGGGACTAGAAAATAATAGGTTTGATGAACTTCTTGACAAATGTCCTCATTTATGCCCCTGTCTGATCCAACTTTTTATGCACTTTAGAGTTTAAATCAATGTTTTTTACTTCATAAAGCTTAATCGTTCCATGGCTTGGGATACCATTAGGTAAATAGGCTTAGATATAGACCATAGTTTAGCAAATATTTTTCAACATCCCTTTTTCTAAAGCTGTGAAGTGGACTTAGATTTTTTTTTTTCCCTCTGTTATTTATCAGTCTTTGAGATACAGCAACAAGTTTATATAGGCTGTAGAGCTCAAACCCTCATTAGGGAGTTTGCTTGTGAACATTTGGCATGCCAAATAGAATCAGGACCAGGCTTTTCCTTACCCTGTAGACATGTTCACTACTCCAGCACAGATTGCTGAGGTGAGGTCATGATCAGTCCTTCCCTAGTAGGATCGCTAATCATTCTCATCAGTGATGAAAATGCAGAAGTTCTGTGATTTCAGAGTGTGCACTGAGTATGTCCTCAAAGACTTTTAATGACAGAGGACATCTTTGAAAGTCATTTAGGGCTAGTGGGAAACCAGAGCTTATTAAAAGAAGGAGCTCAAAAAGTTGAAAGGATTGGAAGAGAAAATGGAAAAGGAGAGAAATTATGGAGGCCACAAATAGAGTTTTGAAATAGAGGGAGAGAAAAAGAAGGTATATTTCTTTAAAAATGCAAACTAATGACCAAGAAACTTAGAGTTTAAAGATGAGGAAGAACTGGTTTCAACAGTATTAAAGTTAGAGCTTTGTTTACTACTTCTACATGATGTTTCTGCATGTAAACTTTCAAAGATGTTTTTTATCCAAATAAAGAGCATTGTGTTGTTGACTGGTAGCTGATGTATATGTGACTAGATTAAGAATTGAGGCTATAAAAATAATTTAGGCACAAGAAAGAAAAAATAAATACAAATGTCTTTTTAATCTAACTTGACAACACCTAACCCACTGGAAATCTGCCATCTTTTAATTTCATTGAAAGTTTAAAGCCCTACAGGGAGAAATACTGAGAAATTTAGATCACCACACTTTTCTAAAAAGATGAAAGTGTGAATCAATTAGAGTGCCTAAGTACCTTCACAGCGATAAAATATCATCCACATAAGAATTGTTTAATATAAGATGACCGTAACAAGGATTTCTAAAAACTGAATTCAAATGAGAAACAGGATCAAGTTTTTAGCAGTAACCAGATTACCAATGATAGTGATAAAACTATGTTCTAAATTGATGGAGTAAATCAAAATATGAAATGACCCAACAAAATGTTAGGATACGCAGAGGACATTAGAGATGCTGTACTCTTAGAACCAACTTGTATGCATAGCAATTTGATCAGCAGTAAAAGGAAAAAGAAATTATCAATATCATCTTAAAGTGTAAATAAATCACAAGTGTAAATACTTCTCAGATGTTCAGGATTACTTGAATTGCACACTGAAGCTTTTTAAGTTTGAGAAAGGCTGGCTGGCAAAAAGGCACACAAACAGGTTGAATTTTATAATACACTGCATCTATTTGGTGATAATGAAATAAAATTAAAAGCTTCTGTAATGCATACATATGAAGAGTTAAATTAAGATTGCTGGCAGTATTTTAATTTGAATCTACTGTCACTTGCATTATTACAATATTATGAGAAGCATTAATGAACATTGGTTTTTTGCATGTGTTGCATCTCTCTGTGTCACTGTGAAAAAGCCCTAGGCATCAGAATTGTGGTGATTATAAGTAAGATGCATGCTGGTTTAGTTGTTGAAGTGCAAAAATATTTTATCTTCTATCTATTTATATGAAACAGCAAATAGATTTATTTGTAATGAGTGTTCAAAGAGAAGAAATCCAGAATTTCCACTTGTGGTTAATGAATGTAGCAAGTGTTAGAGGGGGAAAATATAAAGTTACTCATCTGCTATCTTACAAATGTGGGTTTTTGTCCTTTAAAAAATATTTCAGGTACTGGAGGTACAGTGAAGAAATGAGATCCATGGACCCTGGTTATCCCAAACCAATCACAATTTGGAAAGGTATCCCAGAATCTCCTCAGGGAGCCTTTGTCCACAAAGAAAATGGTATGCAAACATGTTCTTGTTTTAATGATTTATTTACATCCTTTATGTAAGATAGAGCAGAGGTTTATAGTAGTATGTAAGATAGAGGGATGATTGACTGTTCAGCTTAAGTGGTGCAGGAATTCTTGATATATGAGCAGAGCATTTCCTGCTATGGAACTGGCTTTAGTGAAAATGCTCTTTTAAGTGTTTAACTGCTCTTTTAACTGTTTAGCCTAGGGCTGAAAAAACTTTCAAATTTAGTATTATAAACCCTAATTTCCATTCTTTTTTTCTTTTGTCTTAATTCATTTTGGTTTTGTTCTCTTCTGAATTATAGTATCTCTTAAAACAAGCTTCATAAACACATTAAATATCTATTGAATTTTTAAGGTGTTAGCTTTTTAAACAGCTTAGAAGGTATTGCTTTCATTCTCAGATCCAGCAAAGGGAAGCAAAATCTTTATCTAAGCAGAAATATGCCAATGAATTTATGTAAATCAAAGATGTCCTAAGTCCATGATGTAGAAAAGCAGATAACAGGGTTTTTAGTATGATGTATTACATTTATCAAGATACATCATCACATACCTAGTGTCTGGAATCTCAGCTGGATACACCAGAAAACAAGTGAGAGCAGCCAAAATCTGCTCCATCTTAGGAGAATTCAGTGCTACCCAGGGGATGGTGGCTGGCTGCCAACAGAGCCCTCAGTTGCACAGAGGGTTTAGATCCTTTGATGGGAATAAAAATATGCATTTGTTGTATCCTATCATTGTTGGACAATTGTTATCTGGCATATATGATTTATTTATTAGTAGGTTCTGAATTAATTCTGTTTACCTCGTAAGACAGTGCACATATCTATTGCCATAATATAATTGCCTTTTAATAAGAAAATAAAGATCTTTCTTTCCTTTTATAAAACATTTTAGTCTCCTATTTCTACCTCTAACTTGATTAAGTAATTTGCCATGGAAATGTTTGGGGTTTTTTTCAAAAATATGTTTAATTGCTTCCTTGCTTTGTGTCTGTTGCACCCAGAAAAAGAAACCCTTTCTGTATTTTGGCCTTCTTTTGCTAGATTGAATTTTCTGTGTTGCTTTTAACTGGAAAGTAGGTCACTCAAGATGATATTTTGCATACATTACACTCAATAATTAACTGTTTTTAAATAGCCATATATGTGGAAATTGTCACAAATGTTATAGAAATATATACGTGCATATATCTATATCTGTGTGTGTATCTATCATCTATCTATATCTGTGCATAAATATACATATATACACATATCTGTGAATATAAATATATATTGATATATGTAAATATATATTCTGTACTGAGCTGAGGTACATGTGCCTCCCATTAAAAATAAAAATTATCTTACTTTAACACTCAGACCAGTGAGTTTGAAAGCACTGCAGAGGCAGAGCACCCATTCCTAAGGCATGAAAGAGTTTTGATTACATAAAAGGCTCTTCTCTTTCTAACCTTACTGGTTTTGATAGTCTGCTGGACGCTTTGGATAAGAAGGTTAGTAAAACATGACATGAGATTGTGGAGGAGGTGAAAGGAAAGAGGGAATTCTTGAGCATCTCAGAAGTCCTATAAAGGCCCCAGGGCAGAAAAAAGGACTGAAAATGACACCATAAATTTTCCAAGAAGACCACTAAGATATTTTCCCTGAAATCAAGAAAATAAAGACTTAAGAAACAATTCACAACTTTGCTGTTGTTTGTATGAGGAGAGAAAGAAATAAAAGCAGATTCAAATAAGAAATATCACAGTTCAGTTGGAAAGAAATTGATTCCATTTTTCCTGAAACTGCTTTTATTTCTCTGGACAGAAGCAGAGTTGATAAAGAGCTTTTATTATAAACCTTCACGAGGAAACAACTGAGAGCATGTCTTTCAGGGAATAAATTTCATTTTAAAGTATATATTTTCCCTTCTTTTACATTTTTGTTGTGCAAACTATGCAAATGAACACGTACAATAACTCTGATCATGCAGGGAATTCCTTCAGTGATGGCAAACATTCTTGGTAATTGTGCATAAGGATGACAAAAACCAATTTCCTACTCTAGTCAGTGTCCCAGCTCAGTATCCTAAAAGCTTGTTAAGGTCCAGGTACAGGTAACACCGTTAAAACTTGCCCTGCTACTTCCCATTTTGTGGCTTGTTTTCGAACACTCTGGTAGAAACTCTTAGGAAGGGGTGGAAAAGAAATTTCCTTTCTTTTGCCACATGGAATCTGAGATCACACAAAGTTGTCCAAATTGGAGAAATCTTTCTTTCTACCTTGAGAGCAGCACAGGAAATTTAATGTGCTGAAGGGGAGGATGGGACAATTTTTAGGCAGAAGAAAGAGAAAAGGTAGTCTACCTTATTAGTCCACGGGCCTTTTTTGCCTTATACTTACTACATAAGTACGTTTGAGGTAGCAGTGACTGCTACTCCCTTCAGTGCTGTTTGTGGCAGGTATTGCTCAGTGACTAGTATCTAGAAAATTGTAAGGAACAGCTCTCAAAGTAGGTTTAACACATATAGCAGATTAGATTAAATCACTTTCTACAGTTGTGTGAAGTCATTTGCTCTGTCAGGAGAAGCAGTAAAACTACTCAGTCTCTTAGAATTGTCCTTCTCTGCTGGTAGCTTCCACCTTTCAGCTGTAACTGACTATTATCCTGGTTCCTACCACAGCAAAAATGGCAGAAAATTTTAAACTTCTGAACTTTTAAAAAAGTTTAAACAGACTTTCCCAGTGAAAAATGGGCTCTATTTGAAAAAAAACCAAATGTATTGGATCTCTAGCAGCTGACAATTCCTTTGCTTTAAGAGTTTTAATTTGGCCTTTTGCTGCATAATATCAATTACTGCTAACTAAAGTTTGTATTTTGACTTACATCTACCCCTGAGTATATATACATGTATTCTGCATATATATATGAATATAGATTTAGAGGTGTCACATCTGTATATGGTCTCTATATATGTGTTAGACTATTGATAGAGACAATACATTAAATTTCCATACTTGAAATATTTATCCATGGCTAGCGTAGTGAAATATTTATCCATGGATGTGCAGTACTTTCTGAAAGGCATATTGTTATATGGAATCCAAAGATAGCGTAACTGTGGTTCAAAATACTGAAATTTTGCATTTGATAATGCTTTTAATTTAAACTCCAGATTACTTTAAGAAACTTTTTATGTGCTAAAATTTTAAAACTTCATAATATTTAAAGAATTACCGTCATCTTTTAGGTTTTATTCCAACCAGAATGGAAGGCATTTTCTGAAAAAGTCTAGCTACTCCTTTGATATAGATCAGTACTTTTTGTATCTTTTTTCAAGTTGTATTAGCACTTTCTATGAATCTATGAGCATATTTTCAAGTAATAAAAATGCAAGAGCTTAAGGAAAGGAAAATACTTTTTCATTGGCTAGGAAGGCTATTAAAATTACAAAAATACATAATATGGAAGAATGATGAAATATTCACATTTTTCTGAAAAGGGGAAGTAGGTGATGAAGACTTCCTACAGTGTGAGCTGTAAAATAGGCTATCAAATATTTCTTTTTTTAAATTTTAAAATTGAAAGAAAATAACTGTTGGTTGAATAGGTGGTTAATAATGTTGTCTCCAGATAGGCAGTTACCAGCCTTTTCAGGAAGCAATGTTAACTACAAATAGTGCCCAATCTGACTTAGTAGCTTTTAATACTTCATGGAATATATGAAATGTATAAAGCAAAGATAAGAAAAAAATCCATCTATTTCCATTCAGTTCATAAACAGTTGGTGAAACTTTGCCCATCCTGAAGGTTTGTGTCTTGCCAGATCAATGCCATTTTTCAGCTGGGATAATAAAGTAATATAGATTTTTGGCAAGAGTCAAGCTTTTTCTTCATTTAAGCATGTGTAATAATAACACTGGATTGTGCCTGAATGAACAAATATCAGGTCTTTACAGAAAACTTAAATCTGGTTATACCTTTTTCTAATGTAAAAGATGCTGTTATTTCATCCAGTCTCCTGAAGAACAGGAATAGGCTGTGTGAGACTGAAGAGGGTCAGTTCTCATTTCTGCATAGCATAGCAGAGCAGAGCATTGCAGTTTGTTTCAGGAGACTTCCCATCTCGAAGAGGTTGTGATGCTTTAAAGTCCTATCCCTGAAGATCCCAACTCTAGCTGGTTTTCCAGTAAATGAACAAACTGCCCAAACCTTGGCTTTTCATAGACCGTACTCCCTGGAATTATTTGATTTTTTTTTTTTTTTTGCAATGAAAGAAAATAAAATCCCAATTTACTGAATGGAAGAACAATGAAAGAATAAACAAGCAATAAAACCAAAACAAAATTCCCAGACTCAACATTAGATTTCTAGAGACAGTAAAGAAACAAATTTTAAAAAAATATTTGAATGACTTCTAACTGAAGTCTATTCCTTGTGTCTTTTGATTTTTTTTAATTACAAAAAATTGTTACCAGTAATTTCCATAATGTTATATTGATGACATGATTTCATATGACCATGAATAATTGCTACTTTCTTCCTCAGGCTTCACATATTTCTACAAAGGAAAAGAGTACTGGAAATTCAATAACCAGATGCTCAGGGTGGAACCTGGCTATCCCAGATCCATCCTCAAGGACTTTATGGGTTGTGATGGACCAACAGACCGAGATAAAGACCGACACAGCCCTCAAGATGATGTTGACATTGTCATCAAACTGGACAACACAGCCAGCACTGTGAAAGCCATAGCCATCGTCATTCCCTGCATCCTGGCCTTGTGCCTCCTTGTCTTGGTTTACACTGTGTTCCAGTTCAAAAGGAAAGGAACACCCCGGCACATACTGTACTGCAAACGCTCTATGCAAGAGTGGGTGTGATGTAGGGTTTTGGTTTTTTCTCTTTCCCTCCCAGGAGTTTGTGGTAACTTGAGATTCAACACAAGAGCTGTTATGCAGTTTCCTAGCTAGGAGCGGGCATCTGTCAGTCGGAAGCAAAGCTGATCTTTCAAACCCAGGGGGTTGCCTGTCCTGCCGTGAGTGGCGATTCACTCAGCTGGGAAGCTTCCATGATACACAGTATCTGCTGTTTCTTCAGTCCTTTGTCTTTCTTTGTCATTCAATTCTAGGCCTTCCCTCTGCACGCTCAATGCCCTATAAACTATCAGGATTAACTAACAAAGAGGAATAAAAATGTCTCCGATGTTTCTACATTTTTTCCTTAAGGCCTGTTCCCCTTCAAAGAATTTTTTGCTGAAAGTAAATTTTTTTAGAGAAACACAACAACCAACAATGGAACTTTCAGGAAAGTGAGAAGACCCAAAACAGCTTTGTCTCCAAAGAGGATTGCTTTCTGTCTGCTACGGATAAAGTCCTATACTCCTACTTCCAGTTTTGTCAGGTGGGAGACTTGGATGACACGCAGGACTTCAGACTGTTCGGACAGCCATTTTCCAACAAACAAGGGGCCAAAATATCTGCAATATAGTAACAGCCTTAATACATTCATTTTGTGTTTTTTACAGCTGCTCTGGGCTATGTCCTCAATGTTTTAAACTCATATTCAATACTATATTCAAGCAGAACCTTTTTATTTGTTGGTTTCATTTCTGGCTGGTTTTCCTACATTATCTTTCCCAAGCTGTACCAAGCCAACTACCCCAGGCCTTTTATAGGTCTGTCAGGAGCACTCATTCCAAAGAATGGTAAAAAGCAGTGTGTCTCTGAAGTGGATTTCAATGAACTAAAACAACAGACAGACTATTGAGAGACTTGACACTGGTACTATGTTGGTGGTGTAACCCTTTGAGAACTATTGCGTCCAGTTTTCAGAGTCTGGTGGATGTTAAACTTGGTCATCATTAAATTAGAGAATTGTGTTTGGGTAATACAGGTTTCAAAAGAAAATCAGTTTTTTGAAACAGATTTCTTGTGACTGCATTTTTAATTATTTGCATTATTGATAGAAAAGCATTTGTAACATGAATAGAAAAAAAAATATATTTACCAGCTACTTTCTTGTTAAAGGAACCAAACGTATTTCAATAATTTGTATCACTTACCAAGATTTTTTCTGAGCTGTCAACAATTTTATAGCCTAGCCTCTTATCTTAAGCATCTTGGATTTCTCTCTTGAGACTGTGTTGCATGACAATTCGATTTGCCTCTGCAGAGGTAGAGTTACAGTTTCAAAAGAAAGCTAAGGAGATGACTCTGATAGTGCATGAGTATCCTCTGGTGTGTTACCCCTTTGCATGTTCATCATAGTTCTCAAAGGGTTAAAATTTCTGGCCTTCAGTCAAACATGGTATCAACTGACAGAGCCAAGGGACCACCAAAACATTTTGTCATTCTGTGTAATTTGTGCTAACAGCAGTATTGTCATTTTCATGTGACCTGCAGAGCAGGTTTGTATCAATAATTTTTTCCTAGAGAAAAGTCAGCAACTGACAGACCTCTTTATTGATTTTAGGAGCTGCTTCTTGCAGTGATAGGCTTTACAGTCACTGGGCTGTGAACTTATTAAAGATGGTCAGAATGATGCACCCCAAAAGTCAGACACCTGGTTTTTTATGAAAGCCAGGTTTCGAGGGGAGTAGCTTTTGCAACAATGAACAGCTTGCCTTGAACTTGATTATTGACCTGTTGACTGTCATTACCAAGTAAAACATTGTCTTCTGTGAACAGCTTCACTGTCTGAATTTCCTTAAAGTGTACTGTCCTATGTCTTTGACCTTTAACTTGCAAACTGGCACAAACTGAAGGGAATCTGGTGTTGCAAATGAACTTAGATGAGTTTTATTTCTTGAAAGGCCTGATAGACATGATCCAAAATTTGAGAAAAAAAATTGAAGTGTTTTAGTAGAAGAGAAACGACATAGACTAAAATATTTATGATAGGTCTGTAGAAAGATATTTTGCTATGTATACATGCACACTCTAAAAATGAATTACAGCAGAAGTTAATTTTTATTTAACTTGAATACAATTTTGAGTATAAAATTATTATTTCTACAAATATCTAGTTATTAATGAAAAGGTTATAGGAAAGTATTAAAATACTTGAAATGGCCAGTATGGGCTTTTACATTAAATGAGACTTTTATACTACGTTCAACCAATTTCTTACTGGTTTCTTAATCCACATAACTGGATCACTTTTTAGAGAGTGTAGGTATATATGCATATATATTATGATTATTATTGTTTTGGTAATGGATAGCTTGACTGCCTTGAATTTATATTTGTATTGAGCATAGCATGAAAAATAGTATGCTTTTTTTCAATTACATGATTTTATATTGATTTGAGGACTTATGAACATATGTGGCATGCTATAAAGCATTGCAAACTTATTTCTTAGAGCATAAACAGATATACATATGTATGGTTAACAAAAACGAAGATTAGAAAAAGATATAGTTTTACAACAAATATGCAATGCAGATGGCATTTTGGAGATGTTTTGTAGAAGTACTGCATACTGTAGGTTAGAAGCGCACCAGTATCAGCCCATAGCATTATTTAGTAATTCCAAGTCAGCTCTTGCTGAAAATATAGATTTATTGACAATTTAGTTGCACAGGATTTTTGCTGCGGATCAGCTCATTTGGTGAATTTGAAATTCTATGCTGTTTGTCATATGTATTAAGATGTGTGTTTGTATACTTATAAAAGCACACAAACACACACATACATAGACATGCACATTTTAATCCATTGAGAAATTTTTATTGTCAACAAACTACTATAATTTATGTTCTGCTATAGACAGAACAAAATTATTGATGTTGCTGTTACAAGTTTTTTTCCCTTGGATAGCTGGAGGAAAATAATAAGAAAACTACTTATTCTGTATTTCCTTTTCCTCTACTGTAGGAGAATTTTTTTTTTTTTTTTAAAGTCAGAACAGCATCTCATCAGTCTTTTTATTCACTTGAAAATTTCATTTCAGTTTTGAAATATCTTTCATGGCAGCTTTAACTTTTTCTGCAACCATTTCCCTGTCAGTAATGAAGTGCTGAGCATGTTGACTGTTGTTCTTTGATAAGGTAACAAAAATATTTGTGTTTGGAGAATTTAACTGTAATTATGCAGGAAGGTAAGTGTGATAATTCTAGTGCTTGGTATATTGTACATGGTAGTTACATGAATACATGATAAGTTGATCATTGAATCTATTTTCTTTTACTTAAAAGTACATATATGCTATATACAGAGAGTGGAGAAAAAAAATTATATTGGCATGTTTATGTCATGCAAAACAAGATTGTGTCAACATTTCTGTTACATACTCATGTTTTCAGTAGGTTGCAATGCAGTCATAAAGGTTCGCTTTAAGTAAAAGATGTAGGAGCATTTGTGTTCACTGTAATTTCCAAATACATATTGGCTAGTTTCAAATTATAGAATTTCAGAGTGAATTAGTGATGTTGCCTGGTCTAATTTTGAACTCAAATTAGTAAAAGTTCTAAGACTTTTTTTTTTAATAGTTATTTCTCTACAAGGGCCTATAACTATTAGAATTAAGAAAAATCAAATTGAAAATATTTTCAGGTCTGCAATCTGGGTTCCTGCTCATGTGCCGTGACAATTTTAATAAACATTTCCATATTGCTATTGTCATGATCTGTATTTTGGAACAATACAAAACTGAATAGTGTTGTGTTAATCAGCTACAGTGTATCAAGCTGACTACACAAGGTCATGTATCTTCAGAGTACTATGGTCTGTATGATGCAGAAGGCCAGAGTAGATTACAGTAGTGTTTCCTTTGGCCTTTCAATATCTAAACCTATGAAAAGGTTATTGACTGTAGAAAAAATTAATTTTTATCAAAAAAAATTAAAAATATGTAACTGTATATTTACTGGACAGGCTGGGATGGAGAGACTCAAATGGCTCCAAAGGAGCCCTTTCAAGTCTCCAGAATAAATGTAATACATATTTTATATATTCCTATGACCTTTTGTTCTTTTTCTTCTTTCAAAGTGGGAAAAGGGAGGGGATAATTAAAGAAAAAGATTTTTTAAGGCTAATTTTGTGAATTAAAATAACATAAGCTAATAGATTCAAACATAAGGGACAGACTTACACTTTTTCTTAGAAGCACACTTCACATCCCCAGTTGCTTGATCAAGACTCCTGTGCCATTAGCACTGTGGGTTAAGAACGGAGTGTAAGGCTTAATTTTTGAATTTTCAACTTTTTTGGGGGGGTCTTACTTTACAATCTAAATGTCAGTTAAATGTAGCTTTTGGTACCAAATTATATAGAATCTAATTCTAGCTTGTTGGTTAGAAAACAGTGCGTAGTCTAGGAAGTTGGTCTGCCTATTAGCAATGGAAGTACTACATTCCTATTCTATTTTTTTTTTTTTGCATTTGAACCATTGTTAAGACAAATCTTAAAACACACACATAGTAAACTGAATAGAGAATGTTCCAGCCACTGTATTTTTAGGGAAGTAGAAATGCAAGCTACCATACCATTAGCAGCCTACTTTGGACAAAACATGAGATGACTGGGTGGAGGAGCAAGGATATGACGGCAGGGGCCTGCTCTGTCCTGGCTCCCATCTCTCCTTACAACATGGCCTAAGTTTCACCACCTATTGCAGAGGTGAAGGAAGCCATGCACCACAGCAGTGGGAGATGTGAATTAGCCATAACAGAACAGTAGCTCCTGGTTTGCCTTTTGTTGTTATCAAGATGGTCTCTGGACACCTCTGTTTCCAGAAGTATAAATAGATGACTGCAAGTCTATGAGTTATTACAATCAGCTGAGGAAACAAATGCCACTGGCCACTTAGGTGTCCAGCTATGCTGTAAATCAAATAATATTGTCTGGAAGCTGAGGAACAGATAACCTGTTATTCAATACAATGATATACTTGTGATATTCCAGCAGTGTAATGTTAGGCATACTTCCTTAGCTCCCACTACATAGACTGCAGGCAAACAGAGTGGTTCTTATGAGATAAGATCATTTAAACATATGTCAGTTACAAAATCGGGTGTAAATGAACCATGTGATCATAAAATTAATCTCTGATATATGCATGTCATTAAATGAATTGTCTGCTGCTAGTCTCATGAAAATTATGTAATGTGTGAGTCAAACCTGTCTAACCCATTCTTGTGTCTTGCCATCTGAGATGTCAGAGGCTGATGGAGAAAGACATTGTCACCAGTGCCATCAATGCTGAAAATATCTGGTAAACGTCAAAAGCATCATCACTTGTTGATGGGTTGATCTAAGGTAGCCTCTAATTTTGGACAGCATAGATTTTTTTATGATATGGAATTATTCCATAAATGTATGTATATAAGTAGGAATGCCCAATAATAATCAGAAGATCAATTTTTGAGGGATCATCAGTGTCTGAGCACAGCAAGCATCTGTTCCTAAAATCAAAATGTATTTTAAGGAAAGATGTAGACATCGTTAAACACATAAATTATAAACAGGTATACATAAGTTTTAGGATATCATCTGAAGATTATGGTCAGTTAATTAACATTTGGAATTGCAGCTGCCCATTCAGTCTTTGAAAGAGGACATTCTGTGAGTGGTGTCCATAAAATATGTTGGCTTTGTGGAGATGGCTTTAATTATATCTCTGGGCTACCAACAGTTAGATGAAATAAATTTTATTTGCAGAGAAGACATAAATGAAGAAAGGCTGATGTAAACTAACATGTTAAGACAGTTTTCTGTACTTGGATGTGTATGCAGCATAGTGCTATTTGCTGTCACAATAATACTTCATAAACAATAATTACACAGGCCAACCACTTATGATGGCATGAAGTTTTCCAGTGACATAGCTTAGTTTCTTCTGCTTCTGTAGAGCACCATTGTCCACAGATTATTGTTAGTATACCCACTACACAACCAAGGTTTTCTGTTTAGTTAATAGTAATTTCTACCATATGAAATTGAATTATGTCCTTTTTATAACTACAGCCCTAATCTTCTTGGAGAGGCATATCTTAATTCATAGCCTTTCATTAATTTTTTTCCCTTTCATTCTTACAGTAAAATATATACTGAATATTGTCTCCATCCTCATGAATAACCCTGTTCATTCTGTGTCATGCATGTGTCTTAGATAACCCATTTACTAATCTATTATTCCAGGAACTGGTTTTCTGGTTTGAAGGGTTTTAGTGAGGTTTTGTGTTACTTACATACTGGCAACAGAACAGTATAACTCTGCCAATCAGTGAATGTCCATATGGGTTCACCACTTGCAGGGTTCTGTGATGAGTTATAAAATAAGGTTTCTAATTCATATTTCCATCCTGATGTGTGGGTATTTAACACCCAGTTTACATACACATTTATAGCTTACATGGCTGTGCATAAATTCATCTGCCTTGTTGAAGCCAAGAGTACTTAGTATCAGTAGGTAATCCATGTAATAAGGTAAAAAATTTTGGTTCCCTTACTATCATTTTGAAACCTTAAAGAAGAGAAAATAGGTTTTACCACAGTATCACTTTTTCCATCACTTTCCAAAATGATGGTTTCTAATACTCTTTGTCAGTGTTTAAAATTAGATGATATTAAATAGGTCTCAAAAGAACTGGTTTACAACTGATATGCTGCAGGTAAATGCACAGCCTCATATTTGAGCATACAATGATTCTAAGGAGAGAAGGACATACTGTGTTTGCTTTGCTTGGCCATCGCCACAAAATTGCTAGTGCTCACATACTGGTCACCATATCTTATGGGAACATTGTGAAGTCAACTCAAGCAGTTTGTCTGCTTGGATATAGAAGTAGAATTATGTAGTTTAGAAATTATACATGTCATGACATGCATTCAGAAGACATCATCAGCAACCTACAGCACTGTTTTAAATGACCATGACAACTGCAATTCATACCTGCAAGGCATAGGTGCAGCTTATAGGTACATAGTTGTGTTTTACCTCAAATCATAAAATGCTATGAATTCTGGCCATGCATCACCAGGCAGATGAAAACAATCAAAAAGACCTTTCAGAATAGCCATTTTCAATACTCACAGCTTATGGAAATAACTAGATTTTTGTACTCAACAAAATTTAGTCTTGAATAGGAATTGAGAATTGGAGGAACGTGTGATGATAAAAATACTCTATTCCCAACTCTTACTCTTTGTACTCAAATAGGTAAAGCATTGTCAAGTGTATATATGTGTATATATGTGTATATGTGTGTATATGTATGTACATGTCATATATATATATATATGTATGTATGTATGTATATGTATATACACACACACACGTAACATCTATCTTTACTGTGTTTCTAAAACATGCAGATACCACTTGTCAAATCATAGTATTGTCTTACTGTGTCTGGTTGAAAATCATTCCACAAGATAGATCAAGGTTCATGATCCTCCCTTTTCACCATCCGACAGACGCTACCACTTTCAGAGGACGGTGTACTGATAGTAGTGCTGGGATCACAGTGGTGACAAATACAGTTTTAAATTAACTCCCTGTTGAAGTCTTTCTCAGAGGAAACTTAAACTAGTCATGAACTTTCTTTCCACAACTTCTAGGACCCACAGGAAAACCAACTAGGTCTTTTGGTCAATGCCTACAGACAGACACAAGTAGCATAAGAACATTTCCATTTTTGACTACCAAAAGAAAAATAGGAAAAGGAATGAAAACATTTTCACTTATAGGTGCAAGTACAACACCAATTTATCAAAAGAGATGGGGACAAAGATCACTGATACCACTAAAATTTCATGTAATCAACAATAAAAGAGAAGAGATATTACCAAGAACTTAGTGATAGCTTGGAAAGTATTATTGGCCTCCAACAACAAAGATATCTGGTAGGCTTTAGAAAGTCCAGTGGATTCTGTAATTGGATTCATAACCCACCAGATAGCAGTCAGTCAAAAAGCTTCTCAATATAGTTGCTCTAACCCTGACTGCAAATATATATAGTAATATAGTACATTATTTATCTGGTGCAATCAAAATCTTTTGAGATGGATTTAGTCAAACTAATATTAACCTGAATCTCTGTGCAAAAACTGGTCATAGTGAAATGTCCTTCTGTTTGTTCTCAAAAATTAGATCCAAAATGATTTGAAGAACTCCACTGGATAAAATACTGAAGGACAAGGAAGACTTTAACTTCTACTAGTCTATATTACAGCCATGTATCTTTATTTCCATTATAGTCCTGAAGTATTTGATACGACAGAAATACTTTTATGGCCATTGGATGGATCATCTATTTCTATATGTAAATTGATAAATACAGTCAAACTTCTGATTCCCCTCCATACCCTTTTCTCACTGCACCTTGACATGTTTCCTTACTAATGAAGGCAATATTTAATTTTCTATTCTCTTGGTAGGCAAGTGGGAAATGATCTGTTCGTTATAAAAATAAGCAAAAAAGAATTTTGTTGTCTATCTCATTTAAGCATGTATGACTTTTTGCACTTAGTCAACAGGAATTGCAGCTTTTTTGTCTACAATGAAGAGGTAGTACCTTCTCAAATCTCCTGCAAATATTTGAGGAGCTTGATATATATCTTTCACTGAGTCTTGTACATTGTCCAGTACAACACTGAGCTCTAACTTACAGCAGATTATTGAAGCCTTTGCCTTCCACTGACCTTGCTATCCTTAAGTCTGTTATGAAAAAGGCATGGTACAGCCAGGGCTGATCATCATGGATTCTTTATTTGCGTCTTGGGACTACTTGACTTGTCAGATGTACAATAGTGTAACACCAGAGACCTACCATTTTTTACCATTTTTACCAGACATTGTATGTCTGGTAAAAATTCTACTTGTATGTATGGCTTATGATATCTCTGAAATGTGAGCAGACTAGAAAATGGCATTTCAACAGTATGTGTTATTTTCAGTGTTTCCAGTTCTCATCTTTAACCTGTTCTCTTTCTCCTTTGCGTTCTGATGTCTATAATCTGTGTCATAAATATCCAGACAAGGATTTTATGGCTGGACTCTTTCCTCTACCACACATACATCAATTCCATCAATTAACATACTGCTGTAGCATAATAGGCTAGCACTGTTGCATGGCAGAATGCTTTGCTATTATGCACTGTTTTCCAATTGATCCTAATTTTTTGGTATCACATATAAAAAACTCTCTCTGTCATCTGCCAGTGAAGTCTTGATTCATTGCCCAGTTCAGACACAGCTTTCAGAGAAAGATGCAGGTGTTTGACTTCTGAGGTTGGCTTTATGTTATAGGTGTTCCTATATGATCAGAAACTGTTTGAGGGATGCAGTGTCTTCTCCTTGCCAGTCCTGTGGCAGTATTGTTAGCAGTTAAAGCATGTGTAGCTAGTTTTGTCAGTCTGTAGTCAACTAGAGTTTGATATGGATATATACAAGAAGGGTGCATTGTTTTCCAAGCTTCATACACATCCTTGTTTCTCTTTATTATTAACATGCACCTTGCATTCTTTCCAGGTGCTTTATTCTTGAATCTATCAGAACTTAGCTTCTTCCTCAGTTCTGCTTGTTGAGTGTTATTTTAGCAGCTGATTCCATTTTCTTTTGTTGATATTCCTTCATCCCTGTAATTCCAACAGAAGTTGTTCTGGTTCCAATACGTTAGCTAGAAGCTACTAAAATTCTGGTTCTGCCCACCCAGTGATTTGCTTATTTATCTTCCATGTCTGAGAAAGAGGAAGTCAACCTTTCAAGCAGAGACAAGGGTGTTTGTGCAGTTGATAGGATAGCTCTGAAAGTGGTTTTATGCATAACATGACCCTAAAACTCACATATTGTTAAACATAAATCTTCAAGCTCTTTATCTTCAACCACCCAACAGTTGTTCATTTATTTTTCAAAGTCTGACAAATAAGTCAGAATATGGATGTGATGATTTCTCTTGTGTGAAACAAATTTCTCATTTTTATTCCCTTTTCTCTGCATAGCTCCATTTTCATTTCATGGCCATGTTCTGCTTATTAGGATGTGTGTTAGAATCAAAATAACTGGAGCATTTATTTGCTTTCTGCAACTGAATTTCATTTTATTATTGTTATTTTATTTTATTTTATTGGCTCACACAGCATTCTATACGGTAACCTTTTTATAACTGACATATGTTATTCCTTCAGGTAGCTTCTACTGACAAACACAACGCTTGTTTGTGTGCAAATGCAAGGCTGACTAAATGGTGCTAAAGTGTATTATGACTGTCAGATATAATCAGGCAAAATTTTGTGGTGCTTAGACTGATTTTTTTCATTGATTTTATTGATCAATGCATTGAACAGTGTTTTATTATACACAGGTAGTCTTTTGTTAGTAAATCAAGACCTCATAGTGCATTGTTAAACTGAATGGGTTAATTAATCTATGTAACAGCTCACCAAGCTAATCTCTTTAACTCCTTATACTGTTGTGTCATTAAAGGTCAAGGGGTCATGATAATAATCTCATTGCTGTAGACCATTAACATGACTGAACATTTTCAACAAATACTTATGTTTACAATGCTATAACCCTTTGACTGCTGCGGCAACCTTTAACCATCGAACGTCACACGGTAGAATCATCATTGTGGTTCTTGCCATGGCAATCAAAGAGTTAAGGGCTGTGCAGTGATTTGTTTTATATTTATTAATTTATATTTATTTTTTGTTTTCGTTTGAGAAGGGGGGAATTGGGGTGGGGCAGTTCTTGTCTGCTGTAAGTGTCTTAACCAAGGGAAGGGTTAAAAAATGGCTTTTTATACTATTGCATCTTATGTACTTACCATCGTTTCATTGTGTTGTAATTAAAAAAAAATCTGTCAATAAATAAGAGAACAGAAAAAAATTTTCATAAAGGCATTGTGGTTTAATTGGTATATATTGCTGTAAGATTTATAGCTACTGTTCTTCAGGTATTGTATAGCATTAGAGCCAAATTTAGCTTCAAAACAGGAATGCATTTGTATAATAACAGATAATGACAATTTATGGATATATTATGGATGTATCTGTCTGTGAGCAAGGTGAAGGAAACATTATTTTTCCAATCAAGATACAGTAGGAAAAACTAATTTGTGTTGGAAAAGAGGTGGAGTGACACTGGACCTACTTCTGTAATGTCTGAGAGATTGCTGTTACGGCCACTACAAAAAATTATGAACAGGTGGCTGAGTTCCCTCCTTTGTTATATGTAACACAACCATGACAAATTTAATGTAAAAAATTGAGTCTAATGATTCAAATTAGAAAAAGTAGGCAAAGAGTAAACACAACAACAACAAAAAATTATTGAAATCAAACCACAATAGCAGACCAGAAGACTAAGAGCAAAGGAAAGTTTTGTAAAGCTAGCTCAGTTTTGCAAAGATCTGTGTGTTCTCCCATGTCAATATTTATGTAATTCATCTTAGGCTATGAAGCATTACAGGTTTTCTACACCCATGCATACATGTGGGCATAGGAAACCAGGAGCAAGCTCAGCCTACTGGAAGAAAAACATAAACTTATTATTGTTTCAGTGTCCTTGCAAGAAAGACAGCAGTGCTTATAAGCTGATCCAGGACCTGAAGCCGAACTCATCACATACCTAAGCTACCTAAAGCTTTGTTCTTTCCATTCTAAATCAGAGGTACATGAGTAAAACAGAAATTGCTGACTGCAGTTCTCACCTATGAAAGAGGAAAAGTTCCCTGGCTGGGCCTCAAGTACAAGTGACTGACAGGAAAAAACAAGTTCTAAACAGAATGGTTTGGGGAGTGTCTCTACTTCAACATCCTTAAGTTCATGGAAGTGCATTGTTTCTGAAAGATTTAAAAGAATTCCCAAGCTGATTCATGTATTCTCAATACCATTCATTTAGTAGGTAAAGGTGATGCTGCAGGCAGAAAACTGATTAGTAAACATCAGCAATCACAGTTAACATATGAGAAATTTGGCACAGTTTTCCAAATCTATTGCCATACAATTATGTGGCCAATAATTAGATTTTTGTTTTAATGTTTGAGCCCAAAATTGAGATTTAGCTTCCAGGTATTCTTCTTCAAAAAGGTTTCCAATCAAGAAATAATTACTGTGTTAACTAGTTAGACAAAAAGGATTATGAATAAGAGATATTCTTAATAGCTGATTGCCAACCTCTTTCTTGTCACTTGTTTGAATTATTAGAAATGGTAAACACGATCGACTAAACATTTGGACATTAATAGCTCCCAATGGAATTTAAGCTTATGAATATATTAGATATTACTTTCTTCAGGTCAAACCAGCATGCAATGGCATAGAACATATTCATTTTCCACTCAAAATAAACTAAAAATAAATCAAACCAATATTTTATGGAACACTTACTGAGCCAAGTGGGAAAACTCTGGGCACTTACTATGACTTATAAGGATTGCACTTTAATGGATATTAAACACTCATAAAATTCACAATACATACAAGTCAAACTGCCTTTCTCTAAATATGTTGGCAGTGCAGTGCTGGCATTGGTGAAAATGAGTCTGTGTTGGTAAGGAGATTTTGCTATAAGATACGTAAATTTTAGGTGCACATTTGATCTGTGCTTCACTAGTATAAAAAGGTAGACCTAATCAATGCCTAACCAGTGTTCCCTCAAGTCACTTTCAATTTGAACAAAAGTGTACTATGAGGTTCTGCACAAACATTCAGAATGCAGTTTTCCCAAGACTTGCCAAAATCTTACTCTCTTACTTCAGTATGTGCCATATTAAAATGCAACATATAGACTTCTTCACTTAAGTGCCTCTTTCCCTCATAAGTTTATACTTTATTTTTATATTTTAAATCTGAGATATTCAGATTCAAGAGAATCCAAATATTTAGCTGGAAATGTAAAGCTGCATGCAAGAAAACAGAAAAAGAAAAGTATTTGAAAATTATTTTCAAGATATTTTTATATTAGTATTTAATTTCTGAAAGTTTTCCAGGCTGAAATAAATATTATTGCTACCACACCACTCAATATATTGATATGAAGTTTGGCTTGCAACTTATTCCTTCCTTTACAAGTTACTGCAAGAAACAACTCCTAAAGAGCATGCTTAATTTCCTAGATGTTTGTGTGAAATTAGTGTCATTAATAACCATATTGATTATCTTTCTTTATTTCCCAAGAATTCTTCTAGTTAAAATGTTACCCTGAAGTGACACGTAGAGACATTCTTGTTATCCATGACTTGCTCACTTGCTCTCTAATTGCTAGATGAGAGATTTACTGTGGAGTGCTTTTGTGTGGTGGTTCATAGATAATTCTTGCTTTGATTTTCAGCACCAGTCAAACATTCTCACTATGACAAGTGACAAGGGTGGCTGCACTCCTCTTGTTTCCACACCAGGAAGTTGTTGTTCTGCCACAGTGGCCAGCTTCCCACTGCATGCCTTTGATCATACTGTGATTAAAGTAATACATTCAGTTTAAAACTATCCTGAGGAGTTTTTCTATTCGTGTACTTTTGCAAAGAAATACTATATTATCTCTGAAGGACTAGTTTTACAAGGAAGATATGGAGTATCAAAATACTGTCAGAGTGTCAAATAACTTTGTTCTCAAATCTCTCCCAGGCCTGGCTTCCATGGAAGTCCACACTGTGTGCATTACAGATTTTCTCTTGGTGTGTGCTAGCTAGACATTTTAGGCATAAAACCTGTGTTTACTTTTGGGAGGCAGTTATTCCAGGAATCACAATGGCATAGTGGGTAAGATAGAATCATCCTTTCCATATAATCCCAGCAGGTAGAAGAACTTCAGGCATAAGGCATGTTCTCAAAATACTTCAATTCAAAAAGACATAGAGCCTCACAGTTCATTTCAGTTAGAACAATGATGAGTTTGTGAATCCTGTTTAGTTATAATTGACAATAAGTCAGGGATTCTGTAGATTCAGAACTGTTTGACCTTCTCCAAGGTCAGCTTAGTCTATCAGCAAAACAGTTTGGGATCAGAAACTTAAATGCCCAATAAAAGTCTAGCAAAGGGAATAATTCCCAACTCATAGCTCCTAACCTGTACCTAAAGTAATCACAATAGGGCTCTACCTGAATATAATAGATTTGTATCCCATCTGGGGGCTTTGGAAGTTGGTTCTTCTCTCCATTGAACAGGCAGATACGTTTAGCAGCTAATTTAAGACACTTTCTCTTCAAAGGACACATAAGTTATATCAATTGTATTCCTTTCACCCCTCATCCAGGAGAACAGAGATGCAGACAATAGAACAAATGCAATAGAACAATAGCAACACTCAGAGACTCACATGATGAAATTAAATGGGGTATGTCAGCACTGTCAGGAGTCACAGTACAAAAGAAATAAGGAAAATGGAAAGGGACCTCAATACATGCTTCTCTGTGGTTAAATAGGTGACATGAATTTGCATACCTGACTTTCCTACAACTGAACACTGCCCAGGCAACAAACAAACCCGAGTATCCCATTAGAGACAGTCCTCCACAAACTGCACAGTGAGTCCTTCCCACAGGCTGTAGTTCTTCATAAACTGCTCTTTTGTGCATATCTTCCACAGAGTGCTGTCCTTCAGGAACAGGTTGCTTCAGGTTTGCTCCCCTATGGAGTCACAAGTCCTGCCTGCAAACCTGCGCTCCAAACACCTGCAGAGTGGTAGTCCTGTCTTCGTGGGGCCACAGGTCCTGCCAGGCTTCCCAGGGAGTGACAGCCTGCTTCAGGTATATCTGCCTGCTTGGAGTCCTCCACAAGCTGCAGGTGACTTCTGCTCCATCATGAACCTCCGTGGGCTGCAGGAGCACAGCTGCTTCACCATGGTGTGCACCAGGGTTTCAGGGGAATCTTTGCTCCAGTGCCTGAAGCACCTCCTCCCCCTGCTTCTTCACAGACCTTGGTGTACTCATAGCGGGTTTTCTCCCATATTATCACTCCTCTCTCTGTCTGCAGTTGCAGGGCTTTTCCCCCTCCTTCTTAAATGCATTATTCCAGAAGCACTAACACCATCACTGGTGGGCTCAGCCTTGGCCAGCAGCAGGTCCATCTTGGAGCCAGCAGCAATTGGCTCTTGGACATGGGAGAAGCTTCCATCTGCCCCTCAGAGAAGCCACCCCTGTATTCCCCTGCTACTAAAACCTGGCCACACAAACACAATACAATCCCTTCTTGATTTATTTTGTTTGTCAGCTAAGCCTCAGCTATAATTACATCACCCACCACCTGTACCTGTTGCTTAAATGCTGGCTTATATCATGCAGGTCAAGCTTATAACTTGTGAGAAAAGTTACAGCACCATGTATACTCAGGTCTATGAGAGGATGAAGGAACAGGTAAATGAGTACACAGAGAATATTAATAATTTTATAAAAATATGGAAATGACAGAAAAATAAACAATTTTTTGAAAAAATGAGAAAAGCAAAATGACCAGAGTATTTAGCAAGAACAGTTCTGAACTGTGCTTTATACTCTCTGGAAATTAACTTTGACAATGGACTTTCTACTTATTTAACTTTTTGGGAAATCTGGACCATACACATTTTTCTGGCTATATTACTTATAAAGCCCAGGAACAATCAGCAATTAAAGAGGAAGCAGTGAAATAAATCCAGATCAACAGTACTGGGATAGTGTAAAACTATATGTGAGATGTTTTCTCAAATTTTTTAATATGGAAGCGACATTGCCTAATGCTGTAAAGTCCTAGTGACCGTTGAAACGCCAAACAAGGAATTGTAATCTCATTTAAATTTTAATTAAAATAATTGAACCTAAGTGGCTCAGAGAGATGAGAATTTGAAAGTTCTGAAGATTAAATTATTCTTTTGATGGGTCAGGCTACATGGCACTGTGCACTGAGTATGCCTCTGTTGATGTCG